GACAAACAGGAAGAAGCCATATGTGGTCACCAGGCCACAGACACATGGAAAAGTTATTTCTGACTCTGCTAAAGGTGTCCTGTCACCCCAAGCAATGCCAAAGGTCATGCTGTCCCCCTTCTTGTATTCACAAGGCAATGTCCCATTGACACCCTCCTAAAAGGGCACAGACCTTAAGGTTAAAATGTTCCCTGCTGGTGTCTCTTCCAGTCTCATCCCAAGCCAGTGGCTTTATCTGTGTTGCCACACAGTCATACCCAAATCTATGTCTGGAGCATCACAGGCCTCCCGCCACTGCCGGCCCTTGCTTCATCTAGCCCAGCCTGGAATTTTCCTTTGAAGTTCTCTTCCCTGCCACTCCCTTACCCAAATCAGCACAGCATGCACATGTTTCCTTCCTTCCTCTCACTGATGCTTCCAAATGCACTTCCCTGGGCCTTCTAATTTCTGTCCAGGTATATTCACACATTCAGTCTGAAGAAACATTCCCAACCTTTGAGTCAGTGAAAATACCACAATCTGGCGGGGTATGGTGGGCAGACATTTAGGTCCAGCTACTCAGGAGGCCTGGGCAGGAAAATGCCATTTCCCATGGCTTCAAGTCCCTCCTCAGAATCTTACTGTGCCCCTGTTTCAAAACCAACGGCAAAGAAAGCCAAACTCCAAAGCAGGGCTCTCTTTTGGTGAGCTCCCACCAGCTCTTTAATCACGTTTAATTTAATTAAATTTGGGACTCTGATTCCTCATCTCTCCCTCTTTGTCTGGACCCAAGAGTTGAGACCAGTGTTGAAGGCAGCATGTTGTGAAAATCTCTGTGCATTATTGAACACTCAGCTGGAACCATTTCCCTCTGCACGTGTTCATGTTATAGCTTGAGTCCATGAGGAAGTTGATGTGGCATTTCACTAGCAGTAAAGGTCCCACGCATTCCTTCCCTCTCTGGCCAAAGAAAACTTGAAGCAGTGGGACCTCAGTGCAAAGGAACATGATGTGATGCAAGAACTGACTCAGGAAACGCTGGTGGACTTCATGCCCCCCGTGAGCCAAGCGCGGTGTAGGCAATTAGGGAGGAGATGGTTAGATGCAGACAGACACCCAGGTCACTCTCCCAGAGATGCTCCCATGTGGCCGGGAGACAGATGTGTGTCCCAGGACAAGCTGCAGGGAAGGGACAAGAAGTGGGTGGCAATGGCACTGGCTGAGAGCGCAGGAGTCTTCCCAGGTCTCTGCACCTGGCGCCTGTCTTCAGCTGCAGGTGGGAAGCTCCCTCATTAGGCTCTGTGCAGTCCTGGCCTCCTCAAGCAGGTGTGGTCTTGGGGAGTGCTGGGCGGAGCTGATGTTCTCCTGAGCTAGAGGGATTCCATCTGTCCTTCCCAGGGAGCTGACCTCACTCTTTCTTGGTTGTGTCCCTGACAGGAAACCTGCTTTCTTTCACAGGTACCTGGCCAATGACCTGGAAGAGGAAAACCAGCTTATCCAACTAGACGTCTTCTTCTTCTTCTATGGGAGGAAGTTTGCCAAGGTTCCTTAGTTCTGCAAGCAATTCAGCATGCACGGAGACACTAGGAGGTTCCTGGCAGAGTGTGAGCAGGTGGGCAGCCCACTGCAGTGGGGGTGTGAGATATCTCCCAACTTGTGGGAAATAAGGGCCCAGAGGTCTGGTTGACAGCCGTGGCCGAGGAATGAGTCTAAGCAGACTTGGACTTGTTATGTCCTCGGTAGACCGAGTGAGTCTCCCCGCCCTGGTTGCCCCTCTCTGCCCCTTCCTTGGTGCCTCCCCTTGGTGATCACACCCCCTTTGCCACGCCCCTAGCCTGCTCTATAAAATGCCTGGTACTTCCGCAATAAAACAGATCTGCGCCATCAGCCTGGTCTCCCGTGTCTTCTCTTCACCACGCTGCCGCTTGCCTCGGGCCCAGGTCCCTCGACCCAAGGAGGTTCAACCTCACCAACTGGGAGAGGGGCAAGAGGAGTTCAGGGGGTGATTTGGGACTAGAAAGACTTGCAGTTGAACAGGGGTGCTGTTTTTGGGGTCATCATCACCTCAATGTCTGCTTTTCTTTCCAGAACCAACTGTATAATCCTGAACTCTGGATGTCTCAGTGAGATCCCACCCTTGCATTCCAGGGACCCTGGGATCCTGAGCACCTGAGGGCAGGTATGTCTACATTTATTGGGAACAAACGGCGTGATGTGCTGTCAATCTAGCAAGTTCAAGATCCCCACTCAAGGACAAGTTTTCATCCTCTTCCCTCCCTGTCTATCTCCTACACACCTTGGGTCAGCATGGTGCCAGACAAGGCTGTCCTCTCTCTTTCCTGAGATTAGGAGGTAGGCATGGCTTAGGCTGGTTGAAAAGAGACCTGTAACAGGATCCTCAAATCTGCCCAGAACCACATCTCAGGACCCTGTATGGAGATCTGCTCATTGCTTCCCATGAGAAGTAGAGGACATATAAGGCTGCGGACACTAGGAAGAGCCTGTCACCTCCCTTTCCTGGAACCACAGCCTGTGTCTCCCAGATGCAGGAAAAGCTTTTATTTTTGCTTTTGTCTTTTCCCCTCTTGTTCAACCCAAGTTTGCTCCACAGAGCCTTTTGCTCACTCACACCCCTGCCCCCAGCCCACACTCTTCACTTTTACTTCCTCAAATAAACTTTTGGTTCCTTTTTTGCTTGTTTCATTCCATTCTTTGTTCAAGGTGAGAAGGATCTGGAATATGTTTAATTGGCAAGTCATATATATAATATATATATATATTATATATATATATTGTTTTTGATATTGGGAATCCAACTCAGGACCTTGCGCGTGCCAGGCAGGTGCATATGCCACTGAGCTATATCCCTGGCCTGGCATGTCATTTATAAAAGGAACAACCTAGTATCATTTCCTTTGCAGTCAGAGAAGTAACCACCAGACACACAGGTCCTGGGAAGGAACCACTGGGTGCTGGGAGCCCCTCAGCCAGACATCACAGAAAGCCCATTTTCCTGGAAGAGCTGTTTTGGTAGAAATTCTTTCACTGTCATCAGCTGGCTCCATGGGACACTATGGAGGAAATATTGTTTTCTGTCCTTAGTGTGCATCAGCCTGTGTAAATTTGCATTTCCACTAAGAATTCAGTTTTTCTCCATCCTCATTAATATAAAGGCTTCCCACCTTGAGGGATGGCAATGGTAGGCATTTATTTACAACAAAGTGAATGTTTTCACTGTGCAGTATTAGATGGAACAGGGCAGATATCCAGAAAGGGAGGAGATGTGTCCCTAAGTGCATGCTCGTTCCAGTCAGCCTGCAGACACAGTGCTTATGGCCTGAGTGCACTTGGGGATCTTCCTTTCCCCTTTCCTCCGCTAGGTGACTTTCTCCTCTTGCACAATGACATATCTTCTTCTAAAGTTGATTTTCATGGACCTTTGTTGGAGTGACAGAAGATTAACCAAGGTCTGAGAACTACAACTGGAAATGATGGTTCAGGATTTGGCTTAAGAATGAAAGGTTAGAAAGCATTGAAGTAACAAGCTACTGGAAACTCTAGTTAGAATTCACTTAGGATGTCAATCTACTCATCTAGAAAATAGGGCGCCATGAAGTCTGACATCGTCTCTGTCTTCCTTCCACATCTCTTGGCCCAGGGCAGATGAGCATTTTAAGCCTGATGACCCAGCTGCCAGTAATGGCAGCCATGGGGGGAAGTAGAGGAATTTCCTGTCCAGACCATGGAGAAGAATGCATACTCTTCCAGAAGGAGCCAATGGACTCGTCAGCCAGACTGTTGGGGCTGGGAACCCACAGAGGGACAATAGAGAAGCTGTTTCCCTGGTGCCATCATCCTGAGCCACGTTTCAATTGTACATGCTCACTATGAATATCAGCTGGAGGATTCATCATGTGTTTCTGAAAAATTATGTAGCTTCTGCAGAGTGAGATAATTTCAAGGTGACTTGCATGGGCTCAGAATGGGAGGGAACTGAAAATAACTGAAAATATTACCTTAGAGCCGTAAGGTTGTCAAGATTGCTTTAGGGTACGTTGTAAATTTCACGGGCTGGTTTTCAGCCTACAGAGCATAGTATTGTTACTATACTTCTTTGAAACATCATGAGTCACCACTTCTTGGCCTTTTCACTAAGATCAAGTGTAGTATCTGTTCTTCTCAGTTTAATATATGATATGCCTTCTATCCAAGGACAAAATATTAAGTGGATTTTTGAGATATGTTAATTAGTTTCATTTATACTAGTAGTTTATCTTAGTTTATGCAAAAGAAAGATTGTGTTATTATCTGTTTCTTTTTTGTAAGAATATTTTTGGGTTATGTCTCTTACTCTGAGCATTTAGAAGATAGTGAGTGACAGTGGAATAACTCTTGTTATACGATTATTCAGTTATGAAATTTTGTGGTTTTCTTCTAAAAAATAAAAAAGAATATGCTATTCTCACAAAGTTTTCTATTTAATATTTCAACTATTTTGTGTGAACAAATACATTCCTATTTAAGGGAGATTTTTTATCTTTCTATCTATTGTACTGATATATGCTTTATCCTTTAGCTATGGGTTAGTACCCCCAATTCTTGTAAATAAATATTCTTATTGTATGCTTGTTCTTCATTATTGAATTTTTTTGTTTGTTTGTTTTGTTTTGTTTTTTTTCTCCGGTACCGGGAACCGAACTCACGACCTTGCGCTTGCCAGGCAGGCGCTTTTGCCGCTGAGCTAAATCCCCAGCCCCTCTTCATTATTGAATTGAGAGCACCGATCTGCAGTTCTTTCATCTGCTTGACTCCTGTGTCTACTATTGCAAAGAGGAGCTGGGTTGTCAACAGACATGTATGTTCCTTGCTCCATAAAGAGGAACGTATCTCTTTCCAGAAAAATCAAACAAAGATGAACTGTGCTCTCATGTTTTCAAACTTTGTGATGGTTTCACGATGGAATGCATGTTGTTCACCACAACATTATTGTTTTTTGGAGGGCTATTTTTGGCATTATTGGGGAACAAACCCCAGGCCTTGTGCATGCAAGGCAAGAGCTCTACCACTGAGGCACATCCCCAGAACAAACTATTAATTGACCACATTTTTTTACTGTGATAGTTTGGAATGAACTCCAGGTCTACACAACTGAGTTTCTTTCTGAGCACTATTTTTTTATGTTTTTTGAGATAGGGTCTTGGTCTAATTCAGGCTGGCCTTGAACTTATATAGCCTAGGCTGGCATGGAAGTTGGAAAATCCTCCTGCCTCAGCCCTTCCAAGTCCTGAGATTACAGGCATGTGCCACAATGTCTGAGATTTTTTTTTCTTTTTGAGACAGGATCTCTCTAAGTCACTCAGATTCCCAGACTTGGCTTCAACTTGTGATCCTCCTGACTGAGCTTTCAGGAGTGTCAGTATTATAGGCCTGGTCACTATGCCTGAGTCAAATTTCTTAATTCTTAACTTGCTTGAAAATGTGACAAATCCTTTACACATCACGAATATTTATGATTCCCATTTTGCTGTCAACATTCCCTTAGTTTTTTAATGTGAGGGTCTCACTATTTAGTCAGGCTGGCCTTGAACTCATAGCAATCCACCTGCCTCAGACTCCCTAGTGCTGGGATTACAAGCACGCACCACCATGCCCAAGATCCCTACTTTAAACAGTAGGAAGACAGATCTAAAATGAAAATTTTCTCATCAAGCACTCATAATTTCTGGATAGTAATTCCTGTCCAAAGGCCAGTGTGTATTTTCCAGCTCAATATACTGTAATCCCTCCTTTCCCTGTTCTAACTTTCATTCCATCAGAGAAACATGGTGAGAATCCTTCTCTTGCAAGAGGCAGCAGCTCATACTCAGAATCACTGAGAGACGCCCACCTCCACCATCAAAAAGGAGGTCTGGCTTAGACCTGGATTCTTTCCATCTTGTTCAAATTCCCCAAACTTCAGTCTGTGCATAGAGTCTTGAGAACACAATTCCAGTTTCTAAATTAGTGAATGTGTTTAGCCTTCTGTTATTATAAGCAAGTCCTCAAATAAAGGGAAGGAATTTGGCCACTTGCTTCTGTGCCAAGATATCAGGGCATGGTAAGAACAGGTGGAGAAACAAATCTCTCCACCTCATGGCTGCTAGGCAGCAAAGACAGTGTTGGGTGAGCCTGGATGCCTTGGAAGCTGCCTGTTCCAGAGAGGCAGAGGGGATATCAGCCCCCGTTTCTAGTCCTCAGATGTCATCTGGCACTGTGACCCAAATGAACCCAAGTCAGGGAACCTCTGCATCTGCCTAATCATTTTTGTCCTTCTCTCTATGACCTCCAGCTGCTGTGCCTATATGGATACCTGACTCTGTCCCCTGTACTGAGGGACCCTGCTGCATCCTCCAGGTCACATTTTACTTTATGCTTGAATCCCATCGGAAACAAAGCTGAGCTCTTTCAGGCCTGGCCTTTCTTGTAAGATTTAGGTTCCTGTGACTAGGTTTCCAGTAGTTCCCCTTCCTTTTACATTTGTCTCTGCTAGGCCAGAGACTGGACCCCCTTTACTCCATGTTGGGCAGAAGCAGCAATCATTCACATCCAGCGTTCATTTTCTTCTTCCCTAGCGTGATCCCAGGGTTTCTGAGTGGCAGAAGTGGAAATTATTCTCAGGGTACATAGGGGGAGACTTGGCAGAGGACACTGGAGGTAGAGACAGAGCCAGTGAGGGTGCAGAGCTGCTAGTGGAGGCCTGGGCTGAGCTTCTCTCTCAGGTCTCTGTGACCACATGGACAACAAGGTTTCAGGAGAGGCCGTCACTGGCCAGCAATCTGAAGTCTGGTTCCCAGGGTCCTCTCAGCCAGGCACTCCTGGCCTGCCCCACTTGGCATGTCACACCTTACCACACTGCAACACCCTCCAACACCTTTCTTGCTTTTGTACTTCAATGGGGATTTGGCTTCCACTGGGCTCCCTGATGCACTCTTCCTGCAAAGAAATGGAATCTGAATGGACATCAGTGAGAAATGGAGTCAGGCCTAAGCTCAGGGTCACTGAATGAGAATCCATGCTGGTAGACCTGGTGTCTGCATTTGCAGTTTTGTGATTAGTGATGACTAATTTTACAAAATATTGGGTTTCAAAGTGTAAATACATTTTTCCTCCCATTACCCTTTCTCACAAACCCATAGCTCTCCCCTTCTTTTCTTTCTCTTGTCTAAAAGCAGTCTCTCTACATTTTCATTTTATCTTTTTCAAATTTCTCCTATCACGGTGAGCAACTGGCATTATTCTTTCTGAGTCGGGCTTATTTTGTTCATCATTTTCGTCTTCAGTTCATTCCTTATTTTTTGTCCAGTATCAAGGTTCTGTTCTTTATTACTGCTAACACTCCATTTTCTGTGCATATGTGTACATGTTTGCATATATTTCACATTTTCTGTATTTATTCATTTTTTGATAGACACCTAGGCTGGTTCAGTATCTCACTCTGGAGGACTGTGCCACAATAAACATAGACAGGCAGGTGTCTATGGAACGGTGACTTTAATTCCTTTGATTATGTGCCAAGTAGTGCTATACCTTGACCAAATGGTAGCTTTATTTTAACTTTTGTGAGGAATGTTCCTACTGATTCCCATAGTGGCTGTACTTTACATTCCTACCCCCAGTGGAGATTTCCTCCTTTTGCTCATATCCTTGCCAGCACTCTTTGTATTTTGCATATGCAGAGATAGCTATGCCAACAGGGGTAAGACGGAATCTGCCTACTTTTTGTTTGTTTGGTTTTTTTTTAGCCAACATCAGATTTATTTATTTTGAAGTCTTTATCAAGTTAGTTATCATAAACCCAGAATAACAGCCAGACTCAGATCAAAAGAGATAGAAAACAAAATAGAATAACTATTCTAAAATTAAGGTCTTTTTAGAGACATTGGCTAGGTATCTCATGTATGTATCTACATTTTTAGATACATGGGCTATGCTAGATTACAGTAACATTTTCTGTTTTGTTCCTATTGTCTTTCATTTTGAAGTTTATTTATATATTGGGTTTCTCACACAAGACAAAGTATGCAATTTTTATGCTTCTTTGTGTGACTTATTTCACTTAGTACATCCACTTAGCTATGAATGCCTCAAGTTTTTCATCTATGGCAGAGTGCTACGCCACTGTATGTAAACACCACATTTTCTTTATCCATTCATCTGTTTTTGAACATGTAGGCTTCTTCCGAGACTTAGCTCTTATGAATTGTGCTGCTATAAACATGGATGTGCACACATCCCTGTAATATGAGGTTTTTAACTCTTTCGTGAAGATATCTAGAAGGGAAATATCTGGGTCAAATGGCATTTCTATTTTCAATTTTCGCATTGTTTGCATACTGATTTCCACAGTGGGTGTATGAGCTGACATCCCCACCAACAATGAGGAAGGGCGCCTTTTTCCCCCACACGGTAAAGGTGACGGGTAGGGAGAAGGGGCTACAGAACAAGGCAGGAGGGACTTAGTAATGAAGAGGTGGAAGAAAGAAAAAAGACAGGAGGCAGGACAAGGATGGGCAACTGATGGAAAACCTACAGAACAGGGGAGGGATTAGATGATAGGATCCAAGAATGGATAGGGGAAGAGGTCCCTCAAGTAGAAGTGCCTCCACCATGAGAGAAAGTATCTATAAGAGAAACATTGTGGGCACAGAGTGAGGAGACAGAGGCAAAGAGAATTGGGGGCATATGGAGATCAGCAAAGATTAAGAATAGGTTAGTGGTGTGGAGGTGACAAGAGTGGAAGGCATTTGACGTTTACTTGGAGGGAAGGATTTGGGTTGAGATGCTCAAAGGCAGAATTCCAAAGAGATGCTTTGCACTGGACCTGGGTTCTTTCCTCAGGCTTGTGAGTAGCATCTCGCCTTCCATATCAGGCCCTCAGAGAGATGGGCCTCAGAATCTGAGGACTAAGTGCAGGAGGACCTTTTGGGTCTCTCTGATAGAGTCCCTGGGTTAGCAGTGTACATTCTGCTCAGCAGGAGCAAGATAGCTCCTCCTCAGAATCAGAATCAGAGGCAGAGCAGGAGGAGGAGAGGTGCTCAAGCACCTTTGTAGAGGGAGCCCAGCTTTTCATGTTGGTCTTTTGGACACAGTTGAGAGACAGATTGGTCATTTAAGTTAAAGGAGGACCAGGAGGGCCCAGGGCCAGCTGCTTTTACTTAATCCCAAGAGAAGAACTAAGGCACTCATGAGGATGCCCTGGCCACAGAAGGAAGAGGGGTATGTATCTGGCTGGGTTCCATGAGCAGCTGCAGGAAACATCAGGATGGCTAAGCCCTGTGCCTGCTATACATGAGGGAGTCCAGAAGGAGCAAGAGGAAGATTAGGAGGACGCACCTGTCCATACTGGGGCACGAGCCGAGGTCTTCACCAGGATGCTAGGTAAGGAGACCCCAGACTGCGCCTCTAACCCGGCTCATTGGGAACACAAGAGACTTGTGCTCACTTCCTTTTCCCATGGAGCAGAGTTCACTATAAGCCAA